CCAAAACCCATGGAAATATGAGAGAGCGCTGATCGTGGAAGTGGAGCTCCCGATCCTGTTCGTCTCCCGGAAGGCGCAGTGATGCAAGTTTGTAGAGGGGATGAATCGTACTAGAGAAGACTAATGATGCCTGAATTCCCTCCCGGCTCCTGATCGTGTTCGTCTCCGGGAGGAGCGCCAGAGATGTGGGGTTTGTGGACTTGTGGGGGGATGAATCGTACTACAGAAAATCAGCGCTGCCTATCATCACGACAACAGATCAGCCGGGCGTTAGCGCTGGTATCGGGACATCCTTAGATGGCGTAGCGCATGGGTTCATCGAGGATGAGCTTCCTCCCGGACAGATGAAAGAACTTTATATGGACACATCCGAAAGTCTCGTACCTCCCAAATCACACATCTCGCCTGCGAGCAAGTTTAGAAGAGAGAGAAAAGAGCAAGACATTGAGCTTGCTCTTAGATCAATGAGAAGCCGGAAGAGTCGCTGAAGGACCTAGCGCTCTCGAGGGGGCCGTCTCTGTCTGTCAGGTTTACTCCGTCCACGTCTACGTCGACAATTCACTGATTAATGATGCATATCATCATACACATCAAAATGCAGAATCGCTTTACTTTGCCCATAGGTCGCCGGATATGCCAAAAAGACCTAATAGCACCCAAGGAACTTCGATTCAGAGCCGATATCTGATTCGGGTAGGAAAGGAGGTAAGTCGAGTATATACAGATTGCACAATTTGACGAATTGCGGTAGGAATCTGCTCGGCATGGTCCGGTCGGTCATCAGCGCTCGCAGTCGTTGTCGATACCGTAATCCCGAAAGGGATGGAATGCGCACGAAAGCACTCTAGTTATCCATCAGCCGCCAGTGCAAATCAGATGCCAAAGTCTCGGGATCCCACACCCATGTGCAACCAAAGAGAGCAGGAAACTCTCTCAATTGATTACAAAACAACAATTGACCTGGCTCCCCTTGACGTACAGCTTGCATGTTCGTAAAAAGAAGGAAAATCCAACATGGACCTGCGAATACCGGATACAGAAAAGTTCGCGACGTTTGACTAGTATGACGGATTGAAGAAGTTTGGGAACAGAACTTTGCTTTATCCAGAAGGGAATAAAAGACCAAAAGAGAGAGTGGACGGCATCCATTGCACACAATCAAGGATTGACAGATCCTCTTTCGAAGTTCTTGTGCATCGATCTCCACGAGTTCGGTCTCGGAAGAACCGTCGCACTAAAGAAAGACCAATTACACACAATCAAGGATTGACAGATCCTCTTTCGAGGTCCTTCTATACGAGTTCTCGGAAAGAACCGTCAGACCAAATTCGCTGGATAATCTTCTCCAATTCCAACAAAATTCTAGAGGCGCACTAGGGCGTGACAGCCACCACGGAAGCAAAAAGGAAGAAGGAAGGACACATGGGTCGATGGCGTAGTTGGTTATCGCATCTGTCTAACATGTATCTCTGTCGAAAGTGGTACACAGAAGGTCCTCAGTTCGAACCTGGGTCGACTCATTCGGTTCTGCAGAGCCATTTGTTTTTTCCTTCTTCTTTTTGTTTTTGTAGGACAAGAAAAACAAGATCAGAAGGCGTGGCGCTGCCCGGGGCATCCAGTCCGAAACGAACGAACGAACAAACGCCGCACGCGTCAAACGACTGGTTGGAAGCAAGTAAGCCAGCTAGGCGCACACGGGTCGATGGCGTAGTTGGTTATCGCATCTGTCTAACATACTCGCTATGTTCCACAGAAGGTCCTCAGTTCGAACCTGGGTCGACTCATTTACTGCCTTGAATGTACGTTAAATCTTTTTGACAGTCTCATATATGCAACCTTTTTTTCGTTGAAAACAAAACAAAAACAACCCAAGAAAACGACCAAACATCGGCGCCAGCATGTGGACACACGCCACGCACAGTGCACATACGGGTCGATGGCGTAGTTGGTTATCGCATCTGTCTAACATACTCGCTATGTTCCACAGAAGGTCCTCAGTTCGAACCTGGGTCGACTCATTGATACGCTCGCAACGCCGCAATTTCTTTTTCCCTCCATTCTCCATTCTCCAATTTAATTTTCCTATTTCCATTTTTCGTTCGAATCCTCCTCCATTTTGCTTTTGCTTTTGCTTTTGCGTATGATCGACGTTGCTGTTTACGATAGCGTTGCTACGTCTACGTCTGCCCTGCCCCTGCCCCTGCGTGCGCCCCTGTCCACATCCATCCCATCCCTATCCCATCCCATCCCATCCCTACGCGCCCGCCCGCCCGCCCGCCCGTTCCCATAGCACCCACCCACGCAATAACTCTGCGCCAATATTTCAAATATACATCGCGTAAAACAAACCCCGAGACCAGATCCACGCTGGTGGGTATCCACATCACTCCACTCACTCACTCACTCACTCACTCACTCACTCACTCCACACACTCGCACAAAAAAAAAAAAAAGACAATTACTACTATCAATTACAATTCCCTTCTTCTTCTTCTTCTTCTTCTTCTTCTTTTATTCGTACCTACTTTATACTTTTTACAAACCCCCGTCCCTCCCTCCGTCCCTCCGTCCGGCGTCCCAAAAAGGTCAAGCAAGGAAAGGTAGCAAGCACACACGCGGGTGGTATGTATGTATGATATGTATGTATGGTATGCAAACGCGAAAAATGAGGTCCGAGTGCGGCGTAAACGAGTGTGTGTGTGTGTGAGATCAGAAAGAGCGGGAGAGCAGGAGAGCAACAAAGAGAGAGAGAGCGTAAGGAGCGTGGGGTGCAGGCGCAAGCGAGCGCGGCGTAAGGAGCGTGAGGTGTCGTGAGAGCGTGATTTTGATGTGTGGGTACATGTACATGTGCTGATGCGGTGTGCGTGTGTGTGTGCGGCGGGCGAGCGCGATGGATGGATGGATGGACGGCGGGCGGACAGCGACGACGACGACGAGAGCAACAAGAAAACAGGAAACACGAGCGCAACAAAAAAAAATAGTAAAAAAAAGGCAGCAGAAACAGAAGCAAAGCCGGCAGCGCATATCATAGCGTAAAAAAAGCGTTCTACAGCGAATATATATCACAGATACGAATAAACAATGTGTGTTCTTTTCTGCAGCGGGCGTCAGGCGGGGGCACGACGACGGCGCAGGCACGGCGGCGGCGGCTCACCAGAGGGCGCTCCACTGGGCGCTGACGACGCGGCCGCGGGGGTCGAGGCCGGCGCCGGTGGCGCGGCGGTACTCGTAGTCGTCGGTGCGGTCCTTGGGCGGGACGGGCGGGGGCCCGCGGGGGCTCGGGGGGAGGACGACGTCGACGGGGCGCGCGGCGCCCGAGAGGCGGATCGTGAGGCGCTTTGCGTTGCGCGTTGGCGGTGGCGGTGGCGCGGGGGCAGGGGCGGCGAGGACGGGGGAGGGGAGGAGGGACGTCGTGCGGCTGCGGTCGCGCGGGCGGAAGGGGAAGGCGGGGAGGATGGGGATGGAGAGGGCCTTGAGGGCGGTGGTGCGGCGGGGGCGCTGGGGCGGGGGCGGGGGCGGAGGCGGGTTGTCGGGGAAGGAGGGGAAGGCGACGGGGGAGAGGGGCGGGGAGAGGGAAAAGGACGAGTGGGAGTAGGACCACGAGGGCGAGCCGGGGTCGGTGTCGTAGGAGCTGGTGGACGCCGAGTTGAGGGTCGCCATGCTCTGCTGCTGGCGGAGGCGGCGCTTGATGCGGGCGCGGCGGGGCTCGGGCTCGAGCGACGGCGCGGGGCTCGCGGGCGGGGTGTGGCACGTGAGGTCGCCGAGGTCGGGGTCGGGCTGGGTGTCGGGGTAGTCGATGTGCGGCGCGTAGCGGGCCTTGGGGGGCACGGGCGGCGGCGGCGTGTGGCTGCGGGACGCGCACGTGTAGAACGTCGACGTGGACGACGTCGGGGAGTGGGCGGGCTTGCGGAGGTCGAGGGCGATCGGGGGGTCGTCGCGCTGGAGGTACGCCTTGTGCATCTCGCGCGGGGCGGCGGGCGGCGGGGTGCTGGCCGTGAGGGCGACGAGGCGCGTGAAGAGCGACGTCAGGCGTTTGCGGCGCGACGGGCGGGCGGGCGACGGCGGCGGCGGGGACGGCGGGAGCAGCGACGACGCCGTGGACCAGCGCGAGGACGGGGGCTCGGCGGGCGGGTCGTAGAGGGCGCGGATGTGGTCGAACGCGGGCTCGGCGGGCGGGTCGTAGAGGGCGCGGATGTGGTCGAACGCGGCGTTGGAGGCGACGGAGCAGGCGTCGTCGTCGAGGTAGACGGCGTTGCGCGGGTGCAGCGACATGAGACAGCCGAGACTCAGGTCGCGCGGGTAGTTGGGCGACGGATAGCGCAGCGGATCGTCCGAGTGGACGCCGTCAAAGCCCAGCACGGGCGAGTCGGCGCGGATTCGGGGCTCAGCCATGGCGAGCTCCCAGTCCTCGCTTCCCTTATAAATCTCCATATCCCCGTTCTGCAAGATCCAGATCGCACCAACCCACTGGGTCCGTGACCTCATGCCTGTCACACAAACCCACGAGGCTGCCAGCCCCTTACTCTCAGGGTTCCCCGCCCGACGCGAGCTGCGTGCCCCCAACATGAATATAGCACATCACATCTGCCTAATAAGGACTCACTCGGTAACCTTAGGCCCTTTTCACTCAGAACATTGCTGGTTTCGGAAACTTGCTTTAGTGCATGTGTTTGAACAAGTGTCAAAAGTATTGATCCAGACAATAAATCAATACAAATCATCTCTTTTCACACATCCCTCGGTGCCAAGTCCTATTGCGTACCTGTCCTCAAGATCGGGTCCACGAATAAGGAACTACGCCCGTGCTAGCACTCAAATTAGAAGATAACCAACCATCGCGGCCGCCGCAGCTCGCGTGGCGGTATCCTTTGTCTTGTCCCGCCACGTCGAGGGTACGCAGCAAGCGCCAGGTCCCGTCGTTCGACTCCTTCCGCCCATCGTCACCTCCACCTCCACCTCCGCCGCCATCGTCATCGTCATGACACCCCAGCGCCGCCACCCCAGACGCCACACCTCGGCTCTCGAGGCTAATCCTGACGTGTCTGTCCAGTGTCACCGACTAGACTCGTCTCGTAAGCGCTGCGCAGCGCCCGTGGGTGCCTGTCCTGTCCTCGCTTGTGCGAGCGTGGGTGGCTCCACGGCACGACTGCGACGAGGACAATTAACGCGCCTCGCGCCTTGGGCTACGCGAGAGAGGGGATAAGGATAGATGACGGCCGACATCGCATCGCATCGCATCGCGTCGCATAGACAGCACAGCACAGCACGCCGATATACATACAAGATCACCACGCCCAGAACCACGGGCCACGGGCACCACACGCGTTGACGCGTTTACGCGTACCCGCCCCGGCTATCCCCAGCCAACCGCGCCCCGCCCCCCCCAAACCCCAGCCGAGACGTGGCGAGCCCCGTGCCCGTGACGCTTCCTTTTTCCCTCGAGGATCGGACAGAGAACCACCGACCTCGATCATCGTTTTAATTTTAATTTTTTTTTTCTTTTTTATGATTGTGATTATTAAAGTATTGATCGACGCGCGTTGCGGTGGTGCGGTGCGTTGCGTTGCGTGTCGCCGCGCCCCTGCACTGCACTGCACGCCGCCTGCTTCGTGCTTCTCTGCTTCCCTGCTTGCTGACTGGCTCGAGCCGTGCCGTGCCGTGCTGTGCGGTACGCGGCGGCCGCGGGCACGACCACGACCGCGGCCGCCTGACCAGATGCCCAGACAGACGCAGAGAAGCGTCGTCGCGCGCGTGCCCGGCCCACTGGGGCACTTTCCTCCCAACCCCAAGGGAAAAAAAAATGAAAGACGATAAAAATAGAATGAAGGAATATTGATCACTTCATCATCGAAGATCTCCTGCTCTCGTTTTGGCGCCCGCGATCGGGGACGGACAGGGTCGCACCCCCCTTTCCCTGCGTTGCGTTGCCCTTTCCCTGCGTTGCCTTGATGGTTTGCTGTTACTGTGTTTCGCGGAGAGCTAAAAAATAGAAGGAGGGAAAGCAGTGTTGGAATAAATAGATTTACAGACGCGTGTGTACTCGGTACGCCCCAACCACCCATCCTCCTCAAGTCGTCTTCGTCGTCGCCATCCATCCATCCATCCAGAACCGACCTCTTCCAAAGCCCAAAACCATCCTTCTCCTTCCAATACCCCATTCTTTCTTGCTCGCTCGCTCGCTCGTTCTCCCTCTCTCGCTTGATCTTTGCTCTTTCACTTTGCGCTTCGCACTTTGCCCTTTGCGCTTTCACGCTAAGCCGTCCTCCGAGCAAATTAAGCGCCCTCCGTACCTGGACGCCGCGCCCCGACACGGACCACGCGGCTCGCTTGTGCGCTGCGCTGCGCGTCGTGGAATGTTGGGTGATGCTGATGTGATGGATGATCGACGGAAGGAAACGCACAGGCAGGCAGGGTGGGGCGCGAAGGGAAGTTGCTGGATGTATGGATGGACGTGGTGGCTTACTTCTGGCATGGTTGGGCTTGGGCTGTGTATCATGGTATCGTGCTCCCCACACCAGCT